ATGTTACTGGATTGCATGTTAGGGTAAGTACTTGGTACGCTGTTTGCTATTTGACCAACAACTCATTTTTTCACATTGATTCTATACTGTACATTTTCTTCAAAAAAATGTTGGCTTTCCGCCGATCTGTTTACATTATATTTATTCATCTATGCAATACTTGGTTTTTACAAGCAACCCAGATTTTAAAATTATTGCCAGGTTAATCCTTTGAATGTTACTAATTAATTGAGCAAATTATGAATTGTACCTATACATTTTCATCTGCATAAACAGACCTAGTATAAATCGATAAGTAGCAAATAGTAAGGTTTGAAAGTTTTAGTGTTCGAGCAAACTAAATATGTGAATTATATTTGTGAAACTATGTCATCTCATTCTCTCATTGTAAGTTGAAAGTTGCAATTTGTAACCGAGTTATATTTATCATTCTGTTATTGCACTACAGTAAATCAATTGAAATAGCAGCAGCTCATCTCGCTTTGTTCGGCAACTTGGTCTTGGCTTGTTTCAGTTCAGCAACAGCTCAACCATGTGTTTCAGGTTCTAAATCTTTGAGTAGCAAGAGAAATGACAAGCCATCCTTGCTTTTCATCTAGTCAACTACTTAGACGAAATCAATAATATTTATATCCTATAGTGAAAGAGTATAGACTTGATGATTGTGCAGGTTTATAATTTTTACAGGCATGTAACTTTGCTTCTTTTGAAAGTAGTGTTTATATGCATCTAAAATGGAGTGATTCCTATTTTTGTAATAATACATCGTACTGAAGCATAGTAACTTTACCTGATCATGGATCTATGTTAATATGTTGCTGATTGCATGTTAGTTTTGGTTTCAGGGGCTGCTAGGGTGCTAGGTAGCAAGTTTGTGGATGACTTGCCACTCAAAGCTGATTTAGGTACTAGTTGATCTCATTTGTGGATACAGGTAGCTGATACTGTAGATTTATCATTGATGAATCATTGATTCATGTTTATAATGGCTGACCATATATGTATGTCTTAGTGAGTGTTTGGACTTGGTTATGAATGAATCTATTTGTATGAGAAACATGTGGTGTTACTTTTGTATTAATTTGCAACCAAATGGCCTTTTATTTTTTTTAAATGCATTTAAATGATCTCGTCAAACCATCAATCGCTAAAAACATTTGTAACTTCAAATTGTTTGTCGCTATAGAGTATTGGCAGGCTATCTATTGCTAAAGAGTAGCAGCAGACTATCTATCGTTAAAAAAATTCAGGACAACGAACTATCTGTCGCTAAAGATTTTTAGCGACATGACTTACACCGTCTGCAGAAGTCTGTCGCTATAACTTTTTAGCATCAAATTATCTGTCGATGTAACCGCTTTTAGCATCAGACCATCCATCGCTAATCTTGGTGTTGTGGTGTAGTGTACATCCATACCCATCTTTGCATGAAAAGGCGAGAGAGCTTAGACAACATGATTCCATGAATACCGAGGAGGATATACAGACAGCCTCCTGAAAGCTAGGCATCAAGATATGAGTATGTAATAAGATACTCTGTAGAATGAAAAAAAAATTCTATTATGACGCACGCATGTAAAGCTTTATAAGTGCGATGTCAGAGAGCGAGAGATCGATGCATCGCTTCGATCTGGGTATTATGTTGCAGTGAGCCAGTGATGCAGGCAAGCAGCCTGAAGGTAGCCGCAGTGAAAAAGATACAGATTGCTGCAGAGTACTCTTGGCCGTCCGTCTAGCTCCTTGTTTGGGAACGGGAAGGAAACGCCAAATCACAACGCGCAGTGTTTCCATTAATAATCCTCTAGGGCAGAACGCGGCGAGAGACATCAGACATTGCAATGCAAAATGTGGGGCCAGCTAATAAACTAGCTAGCTCTGCTGCTGAACTGAAACGGTGCGTGTGCTGAATTGCTGATGCATGGAAGAACTAGTAGTTTATGTAAAAATGTTACTGTATATATGATTAATAATCATCTTTGATTTGTGTGCTGATTCAAGTAGGCTGCCATCAGTGGGTGCTAGCTGACTGTATAGAGTATAGACCATTATGTGGCTAGGCCATGAAGCAGCAGCAGTGGCATTATATTCGTTCTGATCTGATGCAGGCATATGAATATGGCACACTAGATCTGCAGATGCATGCATGGTACACTAGATCAATATAGGTTGATCCCTATGCGTACCTTGCACTTCATATAACATTCATTCTGATTCACATCGGTAAAAGAAAAAAAGACAGAACTAAACGAAAATGATAGGATGCAAACAGTGTACTCCTACCTAGCTATGACGAATACACAGTTGAGTGGGGTATGTAAGTGAATTAGTATGGTTTTCAGCTATACTATTTCTTATTTTCCTGGCGCATAAAAAGTTGATGAAATATGTTTATTGATGAAAATGCATATTTCTGAATATTATTAAAGTTTTTAGCTTCCTGAAAGGATATGGGGGATAGATACGATCCAAATTGCATTTCACTTTCCCATGAAAACATCTTCTTCCAATTTTATGTCTTTTACAGAGAACTGAGGGTAAAAGTTTAGAGAGTGGTCCTGTAAGTTGTTGCTCAAAAGAAGGTTGGTCCCGAGACTAAACTAGCCTCCTAGATTTTGATGTTGAAATATTTGAAAAGGCTGTGTATTTTGGTCAATATGGAATGAGTGCGTTATATATGCAGACGGCTCATCATCAACATCGCCAACAGTTTTCGATCGTCTTCTCATGGTTCGTACAAAAAATTAAGGTGTCAATAGTGTCTGGCCTATTTGCAAGAATCCTTTGAAAATAAATTGCTGACTTCAGTTAAATTTTGTGTATGAAAGGTGGAAGGTTAAACAAAACTTTAAAGTTACTAAAAAAATTCAGTTCAATTTCAAAATAGAAAACTGTATCAAGTAAAAAAAAGGCTCCCCCCACATGAACAAATTAGAAAGTGGCATCATTGTTTAATATTGATATGTATATCTATCATACATTTAGGATTAGTGCTTTTCTTTAGTTTTGCCATAGGAAAAGGCTACTAAAAAGTAATAATCTTTCCGTTCTAAATTGTTAGACATTTTTGGCTTTTGTAGACATAATATATATCTAATGCATAACAAAAGCGCAATGCATACATCAAGAGAAGCAAAAGCATCTTATAATTTAGAACCGGGGAGTACGTGGTCCAGTAGATATGATGCAGCATATTTTATGCCATGTGCAACCTGCAAGAATTCCTTAGGTACTGCCTAATCCCTACATAGGTACTGTACTATACATGCTATATAATACTCTTCTCTCTGAACCGGGTGCCCCAGCTACTTATTTGCATGGCTTTTATGCCTTCGAGCTTAGCTTATTATCTGCTGAGCTGCAGGGTCCAGGTCAGCGTCAGCACTACGGCGACGGAGAGTGAAGCGAGCTGAGACGGGGGAGCGGGAGCAGTGCACGGTGTGGTGGTGGTAAAAGGACGGGGATTGGACAACGACGCTGATCATTTATGCCGCCGTGTAAATACCCACCACAACCACAAGCAGCTAGAGCTTCGCAGGTCGGCTTCCACATCTCATTCGTCTCCCCCCACTGCTAGCTCCTGCAGCTCTCAAGCTAGCCTCTGGTAGCGCTAGGGTTTACACCGATCAGGGTCGGGTCCCTGGCGGCCGGCGGAAGCGGGCAATCGAGTTCGGCGGCGGCGAGATCTGCTTGCTCGGTGGTCGCCGCCGGCAGCCCCGGCACAGAGAAAGTCAATTGATTTGCAGGGGTTCGTTGCTGCCCATTTCAAGAGATCCTGTAAGTCCTCCTTACCAGTCGGTTTATTCGGTCGGTTGCTTGATGATTTGTTAATTTTTGACGGTTTGCCCTGCGGATTTGAAGATTATTGCAAAAAGTTTTAGGCCTTTCTCTTCTTTATTAGTTTTTGAAACCTTTTGTTTATTAATTAGAATACCCCAGATCTAACACAGATTTGTTCGCTCATCTTTCTTGCTATACATATATACTAATTAATTCCCCCCAAAATTTTTGAAGTACTGTTTGATATATATTCTTTATATTCTTTCTTTTTCCCACTGCCAAAAAAAGCTTTCCCTAAAACAAGTTGCAGTCTTGCAGATGATCATCGTTGTTTCTCTTTCTACTCTTTTCTCTTCTTTGTGAACGACCTGCGACGTACGGTCTGGATCTGAACCTTATGATTTCGATCCAGAAGGGCCTCTGAACGCTTCTTTTGCTAACCACAGTTGCAAAAGTATCCAAATCATAATACTATAATCATGCATATGTCCGAAAAAAATCAGTTCAGTGTGTTTTTCCCTTGTGTTATTTTCTAAAGGTTTTTTTAAATGAATGTTTTCTAAGGCCGTGTTCGGCTGATTGCCTGGCTGATTGCCGGCTGGCCAGCCACCTTACAAAATTACTATTCACGTTCTGCCAGAACAATATTTTTCTCTCACAATAATTAGCCGAAACAGTATTTTCTAGTCCTGCCGGCCGACTTCTGGGCCTCGATCCTACCGTCTTCTCATTTCAAAGAGCAGAAGAAAGAAACCAATCCATGTACGATGTATTCATAGTTTTGCCTGCAAAAGCGGCAAGTAGAGATGTGGAGGCCGCTCAATCATGGAATCATCCCTTGCACAGCGCATATAGTGCCGCTGCCACTGCCGCGCGCACCGATCCACAGCTCACTGGCGCTCACCTGCACTGTTTCATACCGCTATCTTGCTGTTCCATGGAGCGAATAAAGCTGCAGCGCTTTCCCCATTCCCCAATGGAACAGTGGCACAGGCACACATTAACCGGTAGACCCTCTGCCGTGCTTGCATGCACAGTGCACAACCATGGCGCGCCATTTCATGCGAATCTGTTATGCTTGCATTATTGCATACGATAGATGCTACAATTAGCATGCTGTTAATTTGATTGGCTGACCAGTTGCAGTGGATGATACACCGACACGCAGCTAGCTAGCTGGGACATCGCGCGATGACGGGCGGCGCCGTTGGGCTCATAAGACGATGATAAGGGGCGGCAACAACCAGGAGGCGGCGGACGTCGAGGAGCTGCTAGCCCACCAGCAGAACAAGCACGCCGCCGTGGCGACGTCGCGGCAATGGTCGGCGCAGACGGAGTCGCGCATCGTGCGCGTCTCCCGCGTCTTCGGCGGCAAGGACCGCCACAGCAAGGTGAAGACCGTCAAGGGGCTGCGCGACCGGCGGGTGCGCCTCTCCGTGCCCACGGCGATCCAGCTCTACGACCTGCAGGACCGCCTCGGCCTCAACCAGCCTAGCAAGGTCGTCGACTGGCTGCTCAACGCCGCGCGCCACGAGATCGATAAGCTGCCGCCGCTGCAGTTCCCGCCGCAGGAGCACCTCATGGTCGGCCACCTCACGCCCCACATGCCGCTGGGGCACGAGGAGAAGTTCGGACTAATCGCCGCGGCCGCGGCGCTCGCGAGCGACGGAGGCGGCGCCAAGGTCAGCCAGCAGGGCGACGTCGACGTCGACGGGACTGGATCCCACCACTTGGTGGGGAGGTTCCCCGGCTGCGGCTACCACCGGTTCATGGAGCTGAACAGCGCGTTGGGCATGGTCAGTAGCGCAATGGCGCCGTATAACAACTACACCGGCGGAGAGGCATGGAATAACAGCGGCGGCGTGCATGACAGCTGCGCCGGCGGCTCGCCGCAGGTCGTGGCAGCCGCTCACCACTCGCCGTTCCCGTCGCTGCTCTCCTTGGCTCCACGTCCGCATCAGCTGGCGTTCTACTCCTCGGAAGCTGATCAGCAGTTTCAGGTGGAGAACCTTGGCTCGCAAAGCCTGTCCTTGAGCTCGGCGAGGGCTTACCATGATCAGGCTAGCTAGGAGACTACATACTACTGGAACTCTTCGATCGAGATTAATTAAGGTAGGAACAATGCTCATGCTCACTGATCCCAAAATTCTCCAAGTACAATATATCTAGCTGTGCAAGTGTGACAGGGTTTCCAAGTGCCTTTTAAGGAGAGGCAGTTAAGCTTGTGATGGTTTCATAATTAGTATGAAGCTAGACCTGAAACAGAATAAAATCTGCGGGGTTTGCAGTCTGTGTTTGCGATACGGATTTGTTACTTCTTTCAATACACAAAGGAGTAATATTATTGTGTGCTGGCTTGTAAAATAACAATATGATTTTTTAATATTATGGCTTTTATTAGTTATTCCATCCATTTCAAATTATAAGACGTTTTATTTTTTCTAGATGTATATTTTTTGCTATACACTTTGATATACACTATGTCTAGATACATAGTTATTGGTGTTTCGAGTAAACACCAACTAGTAAATTTGTATTTGTTGCGCGTTAGGCCCGGATGGTGTGCTAAAGGACACAAGGTTTATACTGGTTCGGGCAGAATGTCCCTACATCCAGTTTGCTGCTGCTCGTGTTATTAGCACTAAAAAAGGTTCGTAGTAGGGGTACAAACGGTCGAAAGAGGGATATGTCCCAAGTCTCTGATGGAAAGGTCGAAAGGGCGCTGAGAGCTTGGTTGCTGCTCAGTTGTGTGTGTAATATGTGTCGAATTGATCCGTCCCTTTAGTGGGGTGCCCTGCCCTCCCTTTTATAGACCAAGGGGAGCAGGGATTACAGATGGGAGAAAGAGGAAAAACCAGAGGTAGAGAAGGTCCTTCGAATGTGTCGGGTCTTCCTTTTCCCTTGAGCCTGCCCTGCTGACATGGCAGACGGTGCCAGGGATAGCACGTTCGTTGATCCTAATAGGGCCGTGCTCTGGCTTCGTTCAGCAAGTGGTCACGTCCCATCCTACTCCGGCGGACGGTGCGGCGTGCCAGGGTGCCGAGCCATGACCCTACGGGGAGCAGACGGGGAAGTGACCGTACATCCGTACTGTAGATGATGTGAGTTCCCTCCTGGATTGTAGTGGTTGTCGTATGTTTATGTCAGGATCCGCATTCGAGGGCTGATGGCGGCGCCCACAACACTGTAAGACAAAAGTCGGCGTCTACAACACTGTTCGGGCTCTGTCATGCCTGGAAGAGCTTAAAGCGCCCGTCCCGTCATATCCTGACGGTACTTTTCCGTAGGCGTGCAGGGTATGGTCCTCGGTACTACGGTTGACTTGAGTATCCTGTCCTATCCTGTGCTCGTCATTATGAAGGAGTAGGGGTAGACGTTGGGCGAGGCGGAGCCTGCCCCGGGGCGCGGGCGAGGCGGAGCCTGCCCCCAGACGTCGAGCGAAGCGGAGCCAGCCCTCAGACATCGGGCGAAGCAGAGCCAGCCCTCAGATGTCGGGCGAGGCGGAGCCCAACCCTCGGGGGTCGAGCGAGGCAAGGCCAGTCCCCGGTCGTCGGGCGAGGCGGAGTCTGCCCCCAGCCGCCGGGAGGCGCGGCCAACCTTCGATCGTATGGACAAGAAGTGCAGTTGTGTTCTTGTCTATTTGAAAACATCAACGTTTGATGTTTATTAGTTCCACCTCATTGGATACCCCAGTATTAGGTCCCCGACAATAGTTAAACCAATGTATATAAAAAAGCCAAAATGTCTTATAATTTGGAACGGAGCGAGTATGTATAACATTTGATGATTTTGGCTATCATTTTGATGAGCTTCTTGATATACCCTTTTGTTTCATGTCGAGCAATTATATGTGCATGGCATACTTCATATGAGCAATTAAGGAGGAGCCCCACCCAAAGTAAACGCCCTCTTGAAATCTTTTTAATAATCTCTCCATTTTAAATCGTAAGATGTCAGACTTTTTTAGGTACATAAGTTTTTCTATCCACCTAAAGATTACTCAGCCATCCAACTTTAAGATTAGATTGATCTGACATATGCATTAACACAAAATCAGGCGTCACCCTAAATTTTATATTACACTATATTTACTAAAAATACACTTTTTTAGGTGACTAAAAAGTAAAAATACACTTGAAAAGCGTTTGTAATACATGTGTGTGATTTCGATTTATACTAAATGCAACTAATAAAGTGTAAATGGAACTGCATGTTGGGGGACACTTAAGTTTTCTATATATATACTCGCATCAAAATTTATGTTTCAACCATCTAAAACACTTATTAGGTAAGATTTATCTTTTCCCAGATTAAATATGAAAATGGAGCTTCCCACAGGATTCAACTGTAAGAGTATCTCCAAGAGTCTTTGTAAAGTTCACTCTCTGAATCATTATCTGGAGAGTTATTTGTATAAAAAACATTTTCTATATCTTTTTGCTATCCAACTTTTTTTCTATATATTGTGTGTACTCTAGAGAGTCATTCTTGTTTTTTATCTTTGCTAGCGAGAAATCCAAAATATTAGATGGTTATATTTGGATAACCAAACAAAAAAGCTTTTGGAGGGTATTTTTTCATCAAAATCTCTATTCCTAACAATTAGGAAGGATATAGAGAGTCTCTTAGAGTTGCTCTAACTGCATATTGGAATCTAAAAGCTTTAAGACCATTTATTCTATCATGTACTATATCCCATGCATATATACCCCAATTGAGAATTGCAAATTTTAGTTACAAATTCAAAGTCAATTGAGTATGATATATATTAAGGGGTCGGCAGTGAACAAATAGTCATGACGTTATATTAAATCTATATATGTCATGAGTGATGATATACACTAGTAGAGAACAGATCTTTGATCCTCGGCCAAAATGGGCTCTAGTCCCGGCATTTTTTGTGCCCGGGACTAGAGATACCTTTAGTCCCGGTTGGTGGCTCCAACCGGGACTAAAGATCCCTGCCCAACGGCTATTGCACCAGGCAGAGGTGGCAGGAACCTTTAGTCCCGGTTGGAGCCACCAACCGGGACTAAAGATATACTTTTACTCCCGGTTGGTGGCTCCAACCGGGAGTAAAGGTTCTCTCGGGCCATGGCTGCGCCCGGGTTGGAAAGTTACCTTTAGTCCCGGTTGGAGCCACTAACCGGGACTAAAGGTCCCCTTTATATCCCGTCCGTCTCCTTCTTCCTCCCCGAGCCCGAGCTCAAAGACATTTTGAAGCTCACTTTGCACTAGTGTTCTTGCTTCCTCCCTCCTCCATTGTTCCTCCATCCATTCTTGATTCCTCCGTTGATTTCTTGATTCCTCCGTCGATTCTTCAGTTGTAAAGGTTACCAATCTCATACTCTCATTTTTCACAATTGTCTTATCTCATTTTGTTCACTATATATATATATGGTTCTTTATTGTGGTTTTTTTCATTTGTAAGCAATTTGAGCTCAAAATCACTTCAAGCTTGCATATTTACATGAAAGAAGGTTAAAGTAGCTAGTTGAACTTGCGGACCGTGTTCATCTCGGCGAGCATGTTCTCTGCCGAGCAGTAACGGACGTCAATGAGGAGCTTTAATTCTATGAGGGGCAACGGTCGTGGAAGACCGTGTTCCCTTCCTCGTAGAATCGGAGCTCTTCCGTGACCAAGTACGGTGCCGTCCGGTGGAGAAATGCTCGCCGAGATGATCATGTAAGCAAGTTCAACTAGTACGGATGGTTATTTATTCATATGTCCCGATATTGTTGCACTAGTCTGTCAATCACCGTACCCAAATGTAGTATATATATAAATATAAACTTAGAAAATAGTTAGAAAATTATAGAAAATCCATACTAGTTGAACTTGCGGACGGTGTTCATCTCGGCGAGCATGTTCTCTGCCGAGCGATAATGGACGTCAAGGAGGAGCTTTGATTCTACGAGTGAGAGCGGCAACGGTCATGGAAGACCATGTTCCCTTCCTCGTAGAATCGGAGCTCTTCCTTGACCAAGTACGGTGCCGTCCGGTGGAGAAATGCTCGCCGAGATGATCACGTAAGCAAGGTCAACTAGTACGGATGGTTATTTATTAAAATATGTTTTTGAGATATAGATAATTTTATAGTTTCTTAATTTTATTTGTTTATAAAATGAGAAATTTATAGTGTATTAAAAATGAGTATAGAGAGTAGATGGCAACTGCTTCCGGGTCCTCTGCCTCTCATGGGTTTCAAAGCGACTTAGGCTGGGCCTCCCTCTCATTCCATGCGGCAAGTGTCGTGATGAGACGAAGATTGTGATGGAGTACCGAGTGAAGAAGGAGGGTCCCAACAAGGATCGTATCTTCTACAAGTGTCCGGATCGCAATGTGAGTTATTTTATCGTATTTAATGATTATGGTTAGTTTATACCTATTTTCATGATGGTTGTGATTAAAGTTCTAATTTTTGTTTTAATTTCAATTGGGATGGCGGTGGGCGATGTTCGGCTTTCTCTTGGGAGGAAGAGTATGTTGAACTCGTGCAAAAATATCTTGCACAACAGGCAGATACGGCGGCTAATGAGGCAGTGATCCAGCCGAAGAAGCCCAAAGATGTTGCACAATCGTTGGATCTGTCTGTTTTAGTTGAGATTGGTCGCGAAATCCTTGTGCTCCTGAAATGTATTTTAGTTTTAGTTCTTTTAGTAGTAGTTGGGATTGTCTACATTGTAGCGATGCTTTCATAAATTTGTACCTTTTGTGGTGGCACACATGTTGTATAAATAATTAATTATGATCTTGGTTTTAATATGGTATTTATGTTATGTAATGCAGATGAGCCGGCATTGGATGTACAATGCTGATCGTCGCTCCCAAGAGTTCATTGACGGCGTGCATTCTTTGTTACGTGCGGCCGAGGCAAACAAACGCGACGGTTTCATGTGCTGCCCATGTGCCATATGTAAGAATACGGTGGAATATCCTTACTCAAGGACTCTTCATTCACACTTGTTCAAGCCGGGTTTCATGCCAAACTATATTTGTTGGACGAAGCACGGAGAAACCAGCGTTGTAATGGAAGAAGGTGAAGAAGAACAATGGGACGACAATGATA